ATTTTGTTTTCGTAATAATATTAAAACTAAGTACATTGAGCTGCAACAAATGGGTACGGTATATGATTTAGTCAGTCTTTTCGGTGATAAATATTTCTGGGAGATTCGGTATCCGAGTTGTAAAATTTAACCGCAGCATTGATAACTCGATCACATAATAGCAACATACCCGTAGCAGGTTTTTTTACCTCTTTGAAACCTTATAGATTAATTATTAAATGGACGACTGTTTAAATCCAAGCCACACGGGGGTCTACGGAGTTGATTTGGGCTTGTTGTTTCCAATACAGGTCTAATTAATAATTTCTATAACATTTGAAGCCTATGAGAGACTTTGCCATATACATAATTAGCTCTTAACTAGTGCATCTCTAAACTCAGACCGAAACTGCCCGGCAAAATGGCCGCTCCTTGTACGCAAATAGTGTAGAAGTATGTAGTACCAAGGTTGTCGACCCTCTAGATGTCAAAGTTTTTATGAAACTGAAAATATATGTTTACTTCCCAGAGATTTCGATTCCTTTTGATATTTGCGCATATTGGATGATAACTTCCTTGATTATATCCCCCGATTGTGCGAAAAAAAATTAGTCTGTACTTATCCATTTCTTGCAAAATGTGGGCGTACCTTGCCTGGCAACCGCTTGTTTAGCTTGTGGATCCTCTCAGAGGTCACAATGTTTATCCGATTATAAAAACCATTTAATTATATCTCCGTTTCACAATAATGAAGTCTTGAGTTCGAATTTCGGTAAAATCGTAACGAAACTGCCCAACAAAATTGCCACTTCTTGTACGCAAGTTGTGTTAAAGTATGTACATGTAATACGAAGGTTGTGGATCCTCTAGAGGTAACATTTCTATCCGATTTTGATATATCTTTATATCCCAAATATCTCAGTCTCTTTCAATATTCGCGCATTTTAGACCATGAAATCCTGGATTATGGTCCCTGATTGCACGAAAAGTCGCTTTTCTTTAACTTGTTCTCTATCCATCTCTTGCAAAATGTAGGCGTATCTCATTACTTCCGCATTATCTTGAAGGATATGTCTTTCTTTGTTCATTACAAATGGCACCCAAAACCATAGAATACACTACTCATGTGCTGATTTTAAAATATTGGATATTAGAATCCCATAATTTCACGGCTAGATAACAACATCCATGTTGATTGAATTTCACCCACCAATATTGAAATCCAATTCGTGTTTTTTTAAATTTTATTTTGAATATAATGGAAAATATTGAGTTTGAAGCTACGTTCCCAGAAAAGTATTTATCGGGTGGTTATTTCCAATAAAATTATGGCAATTTTGGTATATATGGAAAATACTATTTTACTAGAAAAATACTGGATTCCCTGAAAAACACTCATGGAGCGCATACAGGACAAAAATGTACGGGTTTCCCTAATCGACAGCTCGACGATAAGGGGTGTCTGCACGCGTGACGTCGAAGGTTTCACGCGGAGATTGAGCGCTTGATGAACATGTTGATAAACTTTATGAAGAGTTAGACGTACAACACTTATGAGATACAAATCACGGAAAAAGACGATGGCAGTGGATAATCCGACAATTAAATTAGGCTTCGACATTTGTAATAAATAGTCAGCGATAAAGGCAACATCGTCTTGTGTATGCAATGAATTCTCCCGACTTCGCATCCGTTGTGTCACGTGACACAAACATGACCTCTTTTGATCGATATTTTATATGTATTCCCTGACAATTGCAATGTTTTGAGAAAGATTTGAAGCAAAATTATGATAAATTAATTAGTTTGAATATGTTTTTAGTCCAAATATATCATCAAATCACCCAGTTTGTCCCCGGGAATGTATCTTTAAGAGCTTTAGCTCTTTAAACTTGGGTAGTTCAGAGAAACTCTGGCGTGTGTGTGCAATGTATCTGTAATGTAGTGACGTAGCTCGGTACGAGTATTATGAGTACTATTCTGTATCGACTATAAAAAGAGGTGGGGAAAACGTGAGATATCATTACAGGCGCGCTCTTAACATTTATGCTCAATTTTAGTTTTGTAGCTTCTGCGCTTTACATAAAGAAAATGCCAAGACACTATAATGGCAATGCGTAATAGTGTATATTTATAACAGCTTCTTTTACGTAGCACAAGAAAATGTGAATCGGAGGACATAAATTCCATGACCATCGACTACTTTGACCACTTGTTGCCATCACTCTGTCCGCTCATCTATCGTTCACATGTCCTGCTACAACAAATCATATATCCTTTTGAAATTGACACGAGTTTTATATCTCATTAATTTAACGATTTATGATTACTTCCAGGCTTATTCCTATTGGTTAAATTATTCTGTTAGCACTTTAGAGGCCTCAGTTATGATCTGTCTGAAAAGTATAAAGTATATTGGATGATATTGACAGTGGGGCCCTTTTCAGCGATGTTCGGTAATAACTCCCCGTTGTTACGAAACCTTGTTATCACCTTTAATAGTGATCTTTCATTATGAAAATTCTATGAGCTGTTTAATTAAAAGTGTTGAGACGAGCTGCTTCATTACCTGGCAATTTATGTTTATTAATCAATCGTAATGGATTAGAAGACGTATTACAAAGAATATTGTTACTGCATGTCTAGCTGCCTTCCTTTGCACGCAATCTGATATGAACAGCTTAATTGTAATAGACAAATCCCCTAAAATCGATTGTACATGTATTTTCTTTTACCAATGGGCGTGCTTTATCATTTAAGGCACGTGGTGAGAAATTAAACTGTTATAAGCTTATATGTAGTAGATTGACGAGGACACCAATACAATACTCGCTAGCATCAAGTATAAATTGGGATGGCGGATATATCGTTCTTACTTCCTGTTCCATCCAGACATAACTAGAATATGTTTTTGAAGAAAGTCTTCTGACGGTCGGTCTCAAGGATTAACCAGGATTTGTATTTACGGAGACACAATGAAAAGGAGTACTTATTATATGGATGAGTTCAGCGATAGCCTGGACGGCAAATTATCCAGCAACACCAGTAGAATCGCATACTGCCAGCTTCCCGTTACTATTCGACACTGAGTACGCATAGCCGGACTGTGTTGGGAATGGTTAGCGCATGTGCGTTGTATCATAAGGTCTGTCATTGAGTCAACTGGCGTGGTTTCGATTCCCCGGTTATACGTGACAATGCGTAGGGTCGCCTGTCAAACCTCGTGGGTTTCCCCCCGTTTCCTTCCACTGCTAAAGATCCCTACGGGCAAGCGAATTATTGAAATAATATTGAACTATGTGTTAGTCCCGAAATGACCTAGTTTGTGTTGATTGGACATTAATCCCCATTTCTATCTCTCTAACTCAACGACATGGTGGTTACAACACGTTGACAGTACAACAATGACTGCATTGTTGGGCGGACAATGTGACAACGCGGCGTTGATGGAATGGCGATTCCTCTATTATATGACCTCCCTTGCATTTGTTGGACATACTGGACGTCGCCTCTTCCATGGTCTAAAATTGCAAAATCACTGTCAACAGACCGCAGCATTGCCATGAGAGGGGAGATGGATTCCAAAAGAAGCCATTCGGAGGCTTATCTCCTATGGGCTAAAATCACCGTCAACCGACAGCAGCATTGCCATGAGAGGGGAGAAAGATTTCACAAGAAGCCACTCAGAGGCTTATCTCCTATATACGATGTCGATGCATGGTGTGCGTGAATGCTAGGATTGGACATGCACGTTACTGACTTCGTTTCACTGTAAAACAAATTGTTATGGCCGTTCTTGTGTCAGTATATGACTAGCCTGCAATCATGCCATAAATCACATTTAAACTGCATTGTATGGAGCTGACACTTTCAGTCAACTCAGTGTTGCATTTTCATTGCGTGTCTGTATATATATATATATATATATATATATATATGCAAACATTGCATTTGAAATTTCATAAGAGTTTTCGCGTTTTAAGGTTTATATCATGCAGCTAAATGTTGATTAGGTTTGAAATCAAAACAAGAAGAGCCAAACTCCCATGTCATGAAAAGTATAAAGTATATGTTGTATTTCATCAATTCCCCTTACATTTAATTAGGTAGGACGTTAAACCCCATTTCATTTCACATTTAATTAGCATGTGTATATATCAATAGGAACTGAGTCTATTCCATAGGGAGATCACAGAACTACGTCAAACATTGCTCATGGCCATTTGGCGAAAAAAGACCCTGAATGTTGCAATAATATGGAGATGTCCTTCAGGCTTCTTTGGTCAATGCTACCCGACTCATTAATCACCATCATTAAACGCATCGTTCAATGACCATGCATTAAAACCAATCCATTTACATGCAACACTACCGCAAGGTTATGAGACCAAAATTGTTGATTCGTCAGACTATCTAATGCGCTTTTAAATGGCAGTTACACGTGCCATTCCTTTGAAATGAGCGGGTAATAAAACGTCGATATAGCCGTCCCGTTGCTTTTAATTTGTTTACTTTCTGCCATTCAAAGCGTTTACTCAGGGGATTTCTATTAACCATTGGGTTCTTTAATAATTGTATTAATGGAGTTACTAACAACAAAGGTTACATGCCGACCGTGTGTATTTCTGTATAAAACCAATTGCTATGAGATTTGACAGACAATAACTGACTGGAATTCGGTACAGTTGTTTTGGAGTTTACTCACTTACTCGTCTTTCAGTGTTCATTCAACTTATGCCTCCTCGGTAAAAAATAAATTGGGATTCATGTAATACCTCAGCTATGTATATCGTTTACATTAAGCACAAATATACTGCTGGATATGAGTTTTAATACCAAACAAAGGTTAAATTTATTAATTTCCTGGAGATTATTCTATTTCCCGGAATCAATATCACAATAATCACGCCACATTTGTTGATTAATTATTTTTCTTGTTACTATTGAATGGTGTCTTGTAAAGTTTAAGACATGTGTGGAATTGATACAGCAATTAGTTAATTTATATTTCTCTATTTCAGGTAGCCTTAGCTTTGAATGGTTTTCTTCACGACGGGCCAGTCTTACCAACTATTTCTATATTTCTTGTTGTACAGAAAGTACCCGATAAAACGACGAAATCATGGATAATGAAACACTCTCCTCGTGTACAAGCCCCAACAATTGTTCATCCAACATGACCAATTCGGATGAAAGCTACCTAAATTTTGAGTCGCTGGTTCGGATAGTTGTACCTACTATATTTGGTGTGATATTTTTGTTAGGACTCGTAGGAAATATAGTTGTGATTCTGGTCGTGATTGGTGATAAACACATGCGAAACACCACAAACATTCTAATATTGAACTTAGCTATTGCCGATTTATTTTTTATCGTTTTTTGTGTGCCATTTACTGCTTCTGGATATGCGATGACTGTTTGGCCCTTTGGTAATATTTGGTGTAAAGTTGTTCAGTATATGATGTACGTGTGCGCTTATGCTAGTGTATACACGCTGGTATTGATGTCATTGGATAGATACCTTGCCGTTGTTCATGCCATTAGATCGATGAGGTACCGTACAGAAAGAAACACTTCTTTAGCCGTTATCATCACTTGGGTCGTCATACTGCTGTGCAACATACCCCTCTTGTTCATCTACGAAGAATACCAATATGAACACTTTAAGGAGAACCGATCAGCTTGTCTGAACGTTGCTGAATTTGACAAACCGTATGTGGGTAAACTGTTCTATGGCATCTTCTTTGCTTTTGGCTACATTCTTCCACTTGGAGCTGTTTGTATAATGTATGGACTTATGCTGAAGAGGCTATTGTATGGTATAGTTCCTGGCGGAAACCAGTCCGCTGAGAGTATTCGCGCCAAAAAGAGAGTCACCCGTATGGTAATCATCGTAGTCGTTCTTTTCGCGGTTTGTTGGCTGCCAATACAGGTCATACTAATTGTTCAAAAGTTTGGATTCTATCCTACAGACATATTTTACGTAGGAATTCAAATGGCGTCTAACTGTTTAGCTTATATGAACAGTTGTGTCAATCCGTTTTTGTACGCCTTTTTATCAGAAAATTTTAGAAGAAGTTTCCGCAAGGTTCTTTTTTGCTTCGATAGTCAAAGAGGAAAGCATTCATATGAGCGAACAAGCACCCGTATGGTAGATGAAAAAACTAAAAACACGACCGTTCCATCAAAATATAACAATGATAATAACGTGTAATTTATTATAGCAAGTCGTGTGTGTGATATGCAATGAATGTACAGTTGTAAATATTGGTGAAAAGTAATATATATTTGTCTTGTGCTGTTGGTTATTTGTCATTAAAATGTTCGGCAAAACCATCGACCCTGCATTTTGTGTCCTAGTGGCAAGTCTCTTTAGGATTGTACCTGAAAAAATATTTGATATTTAGTTTATGTTCTTTAAAAATACCAAAGTCAAACTTAACCAAACAATTAACGAAGTAAATCTTGATATAAATTTTTAAAACTATCTGGTCATTTCATAATTTAATTGTAAATTACTGATTTAGACAACACGGGGTTGTAATAAAAATATATACATAGAAGTTGTTTTGCAAGTCTTATATATGACGTCAAATGGTTTTCTGTGTGTATCTTTTCTGAGAATAATAGACTAAGTATTGTGCCATATAAGTGTGTTCTTTTACCTGTAAAATATTTTTTTTTCTATATTCATTTTTTTCATTAGTTTACTCTCCATAGTTGTTGTGCTGTTTATTTGAATATTTAAAGCAAAATAACTCTCTAAATATTCTGTGATGATCTTGATTTACACGGCTGAACACCTTTAACAAACGTTTAAAGAGGCGAATGGCTGATTTCTCCTTAGCCGATCTACTATAAGCGGGGGTTAAAATCGGATTTACGGACATATCATTTAGCATGCACGAAACCCGATTTTAACGTCAGATTATAGTCATTCAACGTACGTGAATAGCAAAGACAGTTAAAGGGAGTCAGCCAACATATTATATAAACCCAACGCCATTTTCGAATTCACTTTTTAAAATTATCAGTCTTATTTTCATCGCCTAGAGCTATAAAATAAAATGTGAAAATCAGAGCCCATCTTACTAGTTGTATAATAAATGGAACAGTTAGTACAGCGAGCAAGGCTTCTGTGCCTTTATTTTGTCGGTACGCGATAAATAGGTGGCACATTACATCATGCAAATCGGATTATGAAGGATATTAACTACCTCATGTAGGTCCCTATTACATTGGTACTCAAATTGATAACTACCTGAACCTTTTTTTTAAATGTCAATGAAACGGGTTAACACTGTTCTGAACATAGTGGTCATTTATATATTTTTAACTTTTTATTTGTGGTTGGATTTTTGCAGTTAATTACTGTTCTATTTAATTTATCACTTGTGGGGCATGACGGAAGTCTAAGAGCGTAACAAACTGAATATCAGAGAAACGGGTCATGTTGGGTATGACAGGCACATGTCATGTATAACAATCAATAATATTCAATCTCGCCATAGAATTCAGTCGAGACTTGCTACCATTTCTCCAGGGTATTATTATTCGTAATTCACACTATCACACATCTGATTCCACAAAGAAGACTAAATGCAGAAAACGCATTAGGTACTCTAACTCAGTTACACATATCAGTAGAATTCAAATATTAGAGAAAAAACACCAAGAATTAAATTTTTAGCTAGTACGTACGTACTAGCCAAAATTTAATTTTTAGTGTTTTTTCCCTAATAATTGAATTTTGCGTGTAAGTAAATGTTGGTAAATGGATTGCGAGTCGCAGTGGCTCAGTGCAATAGGCGCTGACTCGCTCCCGGTCATTTCTCCTTGTCAGTGGGAAAGAACAGCGTTTCGCCGTTCAGATGAAACAACAAACGAAGTTTCGTGTATACGGCGACGTGCACATACAAGAACCCTTGACAGTTGGCAAATATTTCCCTCATAGCCCCGACATAATATTCAATCTCGCCGTAGTATTCAGTTGAGATTTGCTACCATTTCTCCAGGGTATTTTTATTCGTAATTCACACTATCACACATATGCAGGAAACGCCAAAAAAGTAGGGGATGTTCAGAAACAATACAAAATTGCGGAAATGCACTGCTGTTTTTATTAGAGGTAACTAGTGTATGTTCATGTGTAGGCAATTGGCCTGTTATTAACAGTTCATATGGGCGGCTTATCTGACGTCCCCATTTCACTCGCAAAGGAATACACTGTCAAAAGTGAAAATGGACGTTTTTGATTTTTGTCTTAATGAGTAATTGCTCCACCAATCCTCAGACATTCAGCAATTCGTCGTGGCATGCTCTTAATCAACCGTTCAATCACGATTTGGGGCAATGTGACCCACTCCTCTTGCAGTGCCACGGCCAATTCTTGCAGTGTTGACGTCGACGGACACGTCTGCCGATCATTCCCCAGACATGCTCTATAGGAGAAAGGTCACGACTCGTGGCTGGCCAAGGCATATGGACAGTATGGTGACGCTGGAGGTAGTCATTCACGACACGAGCGCGGTGGACACTGACATTACCATCTTGAAAGATGAAACGTCGACCTGCACGTTGAGCAAAGAGCAGAACTATCGGTGCCAGGATGTGGTCACGGTAGTACACACTAGTGACCCTTTCTTGAACAATATGCAAGTCCGTTCTGCCAGTCATGGCGATTCCTCCACACACCATAACATACCCACGTCCAAATCTGTCATGTTGCCTGACGTTAACATTAGCATGACGCTCATTTACATGCCTCCAAACGCGAGCACGCCTATCGGTGAAATCTAGAGTAAATCCTGAGTCATCTGAGAACATTAAACGCGCCCATCGACGATTACACCAACTTCTACGCTGCCATTGACGCCTGTTTGCCATGTGCTGGCGAGTTAACGGAGGCACAACACGCGGTCGTCGCGCATGCAAATGGGCTGCATGTAGCCGATTTCTAATCGTTTGGGGTTTAACTCGAATTCCTGTACCTTGGTACAAGTTTACAGAAAGCTGATTGGCCGTTTGTCCTTGATTTCGCAGGACCTGTGTACGAATGTATCGACCCTGGGCTTGTGTAGTGGGTCTAGAACGACCCTCGTTCAGGTCTATCATCAACATTGTGTGTTTGTTGGTACCGATTCCACAGTCTGCTGATCACAGACTGTGACTGTGTAGAACCCATTCGAAGCATGCCAATAGCACATAGACTTTCATCATGTTGAAGACGTCTCATTGCAAATTAAACGTTACACACTAAAGCAAAGATACGCTAAACAGTAAATCTTATACAAGAACCTATAGGAAAGCTAACATGGATAGGATAAAACCAGCACGAGGCAGTTTTCATCAACCCTTCCTTGAAGTGTCAAATTTGACAATGAACCCCTCCTACGTGTATGGCACTATTGCGTGTCGCACTTGCAGCTCAGTGGTTCTGTTGTGGTGATACGTTCTTCATCTGTGGACATACTCTCAAAGCATGTCAAGTGTCCATGACTATTTATCATATCACAACCTGCATAGGTATTTGCATTTCAATATCCCCTACTTTTTTTGAAGAGTATAAATGATGTTGCACTTGAAAACGATGAAATGTAATCAAGTGTAGATTCTCACAACCAAACAGCACTCCCACCCGCCAAAACAATAAAATAAAAATAACAAACAAAAAACCGCGGAACTATTCTTAGAATAACCTTAAAATATAACAGTAATTGCTTTTCTACGGAAGTGTATTAGGGCCAAATCAATTAGGAGATACTAATTCCTAATTAGGAGACAGTAAAGGTTAAGTAGGGCTTAATATTATTGGGGCCAAACAAATAAAAGAATAGCCACACAAAACAAGGAAATGCGTCCACGGGGGAGCTACATTTGTGCAGCTATATAACGGAAAACGTGGATCTGGTTATTTGAGGAAGGTCCTGTACAAGGTTAAAATACGTTAAAGGTGTATCGGGGAGGGGGATATCTGGGGCGCTGAATTGACATGATTTGTCCTCCCATTAATGCTTTACACACAATTTGAAAAATATCTGTTATAAACTGTAGCTTCTAGAAGGAGTGTAACTATTGCAAATGAGGGCTGAGAAACGCTGAATAGCGATCGGGGTTGTCCTCTCAAAACCCCAATGATTCAATCTAAATTGGAAACAAATTCACGAAACTGTAGCCTCTATCGAGTTCGGAAAAGGGAGATTTGGGAAGGAAGGTTGTGGAACACTGAATATCGTGTTCAGACTTAAAACTCTATCGCGTCCAATATGTTTTCGACAAAGCGCGTACAAACTCCGAACCGAAAGATGGGGTGATGCTGAATACTAAGTCCGAACCGAAAGATTGCGTGATGCTGAATATAGATAGGCTTTGTCCTCGCAGACTCAAATAAATTAAATTCCAAAAAGAAAATCGGCTATTCGGCATTATGCGATTAACACTTAAAGGAAGGTCGTGTAACGCTGAATGACCTCAGTGCTTCACACCAAATTTGAAAAATAATCCGACAAGATGTAGCCTCTATCGCGTTTACGGCAATGGGTATAACTCCGGAATGTAAATAAGCGGAACGTTGCATATCGCTAGAGCTCTCCCTCTCATGACCCCAATGCTTAAATTTAAAGAAAAATCACCAAAATTCGGCAGCATCTATCACGTTTACAAACACGTCTGCACCCACATTAATTAGGGGATACTAAGTCCTAATTAGGAGATAATATGTAATAATTAGGAAACACTACGTCCTAATTAGGACGTGACATTGAAAGCTTCGTGGATTATTCATATACTGAAAAATAAATATGTTATACGTTTATTGTGCTGCATAGCTGTATTTCATAGCTGCATGTAAACATATTTTTTTCATTGACATTGGGGGGAGTGATATAGATATGAACATTAAAAATATAAATGTAATTATTCTCGGAGAAAAAAGTGCAGCATAACTCAATAATACATTCAACAAAAATATTTATTAATAAATATAAATATCAATGAGGTTGACTTAAAAGCACAAAAACAAATTACTGCCCAAAAGTCAGATAACAACGACTATAAGTTTTCTGCAATGAAACATTATGGCTATTCACGCTCCGTAAAACAATTTCCACTTTTGATCAAATCTATAATATTAATATCACAATGTTTATTTTCACTTTTTCCTATACCGCAAATGAATTTTGAGAACCATTTATTTATGGTTCTCGGCCTGTTTACAAACATGCTAGTTATTAATAACCACCCCCGTTTATAAGTGTCAACCAAAACAATGCTCTTCTGGTTAATTGCTCAACAGTTTAGTGACTTTCTACGCTACAAACCTCGTCCAAATACATTAAGGTATATATCCTCGCATTGCAGAATTTAAAGTTTCATAAATCATGACTTCGGGTTAGTTAACCATACATTCTAATGGTTTTGTAAAAGATTCATAAATAACAAAGGATCATCTCTACAGACGTATGCATCATTTGTTTAACACTAGTCCAATGCGTGATAGATTCCTTGTCATATTACAAGGATACCTAACAAATGTTAGATGAAAT